CTTATTTTAAAATCAGTCCGTAAAACATCATTACTTGCATAATATTTTTATAGTATAATCGCATTATTATTGGATAAATCGCCAGCACCACTGTGAAATATTCGCGAATTCAGACAATAGAGAAATAACAGCACAGAATGCATTATTGTTATGACTATGAATTATTGCTGCTTACAATAAAATGGGACCCAATTTCAAAACATAACTGGACTAAGCTGAGCATTCTTTATCACCCTTCCAACAGCATCAAGAGAGCAATAGATGTGAAAATTACATAACTACGACGCAAAGCATTATATTCATCTTTTTGTGTTTTAAATAAAAAATATTAATGAATTGTGAACCGAACGCGAGCGTTGTATTTTGAGTGAGGTTACCCCTTTCCTAATAGATCGGTAAGGCACTAGTCACTCCTCTGGTGTCACGGGTATTCAATTATTCATAGGTATTGTCATACCCATAAAAACCTAAACAGCTCAGATATAATGAGGCTGTTTAGATAGCACTAACAACATCAATTGACGTGTAAAAGTGCTGCCTTGTAGCCTATTTGCAGAAATAAATTCACTTGTTTCATATAATTTCTTTAGTAAATTTAAGTAATAATACATTTTAGCTCGAGTAACATATAATTGTGCTTAGCAAAATAAGTGAGCAGCAGCAGATGTAATACAAATCGCATTAAAGCTGGTTGCTAGAAACCTGTACTGTTCCTCATATTAAATGCTATCTTGGATTGTATTTGAGTGGCAATCGAACTGTAGCTGCCGACCTCGTCAGACGACATTCTCATGCATATTGTTATGTACATACTAACTAAACATGTAACAACTTAGTAATCGCATAGCTTCGTTACTTACTATCAGGTACAAAACATGTTTCGAATAATTAAACTAAGTAGAGTTGCACATTCTATGTACAGTAAGAAATATGCATGCTAATTACATTCTTAACATGCATACAAGTCTCTAATTGTACTCACAATTCGTACATATTGTGTTCGTTAAATAACATACTGCAATAAGTAGACGCAATAAAGTACATATTAAAACTTTATTGTGGACGTACTTGTAGTGCTCTGCGGCGTTTTCAAACTGTCCGAGAAATATGTGTGAGTTGCCGAGGTTACTGTTGGCGCGCCGCTCGGCCGCCTTGTCCCCGAAGTCACGCGCTATCTGCAGGCGCTCCGTGTGGTAGCGGATGGCGCGCGCGAAGTCGCCGAGCAGGTAGCACGTGTTGCCCAAGTTGCCGCACGCCCGACCCATGGCCTGTCTGTCACCGAGGCTGCGCATCAGCTCCAGATTCTCTCTGTGAACAAATAAATTACCAATTTACCTCTATATAGCTTTACAAATATAGGAGCAAATTCTACCGATAATGCAACTAGTTATTTAGTGTTACTTTAGTTGTTTTGTAGATTTCATAATCAGTTTAAAGTATCGATTTATTTCAATTATTACAGCACAAATATACGCACTTTTGAAACTACAAAAATCAGTCTGTCAGTTTGTCCAGCAGTGAAGCTAGGTGGGAAAGACCTATTAAATTACTTGGGTATCTGGTGTCTACCTACCTCAGTACAATAGAATACACGAAACGGCTGTAGAGTAGCTTAAGTTATATTGGTCACACTTAGTATAATTAACTAAAATTCAATTATTGGATAAGAATGAGAAACAGTTGAGTTGCATACATACTCATAATAGGCAACTGCTTGCACGAGACACTCGCGCACCTCTTGTGGGAAGTGTCCGGGATCATTTTGTCCAACTCTACCGAGCTGTTTCCCTTGAGCATGGTACACGTTGCCCAGGTTATATAGCGCCCGCCCTTCGCTCAGCTTGTCGCCTAGACCCCGTGATATCTCCAGGTGTCTCTTGCAGCACTGTATTGCTTCTGTAAACTTGCCCATCACTTTAAGCGTGTTTCCTAAGTTTCCTGAGGCTTTAGCTTCTCCTAATTTGTCATTCATTGTCCTGTAAATGTACAAATGCAAAAAGTAATGTATCTGTCACATGTTAATGTAATTATAAACTGGACACATAAGTATGTAATGAGTTTCATACCTAGCTAAGGTTAAATCATGTTTGTGGTACTGCATTGCCATGTTATAATCTCCTAAATAGAAGTAAGCGTTGCCCAGTTGACTGTATATAGCGCTTAACGTTCTAAGATCATCAGTGCCCGCCTGTATAGCCGCCTGGAAGAAGGCCACGCCGGCGCGGCAGTCCCCGGCTTTGCACAGGCGCTCGCCTTCCAGCGCCAGCTCCAGACACATTGAGCCGCCATCACAACTCTAATAACAAAATAAAAAATTAAAAATTTATTTCTTAAATAAATATAAATTGTGTAAGTGCATAAATAAATATAAAGTGTGTATGCTTTACTTTACAGAACTACCTAATAATACTTTTATGAGGCGAGTCATACCTTGATACAACCCTTAAAGATTTTTTATGATGGTGACACAAGTACAACTCTCTGTTTTCAACATTTTCTTTTTTTGATCCTTTATTTGCTAAAGGCATAAAATAGGTGACAAAACTTGCAATATTTGTCCGTTGACCTCAGTTTCAATGAGTTATCTATACTAAATGTAAACAAGTTATTATTCGCTTCAATTTGTGACTCATTAAGCATTATGATTAATGCATCATTTGACATGGAAAAGAAATGAATCTAGAATGAGTGGTATAACTACTTTAGCCAATTAAAATGGCTGCTCTGTCTGATCCGGGTCATTGTATATTGGAGCGAGACACTTTATTTCAATAACAGCTTCCACTTCTACATATTCATATTGGTTGTGGGTCTACAGCAAAATAAGGAGTATACTGGTGGTCATAGTAGTTTGTTGTTTAATCACTTGTGGTAGTGGTAGTTTGTTTATTGAAAATTCTGTGAATTATACACATGGTCACAATGTTTATATTAACAAATGACAGAAATAAGTAAATCATGAAGTTGTTTACATACAGTTGTTTATAATTATGGATGTGAGTGTTTCAATTATTTATGTGTGCTAGTTCTAATGCCAGTGCTAGCCCATATACCGATATGGGCTACAATTACAACCAGTTAAGTTTTGAAGATAAAGTTAAACAACAAAACAAAAACAAAAGATGACATACCTATATGAAATCATTATACTGATTGTGTTTGACCTAAACTGATTATGAAGAAATAACATTTTTTTATAACGATATTTAAATTTGATTCTACTTGGTTTTGATAGACATCAAACCGAAGTGTCAAGCAGTATGCAAATGTTTACTAAACTTTTACACTAAGTTAAAGTTACGTATTGTCATTGGTGTCTAGAGAAAATAGTGAGATCTACAGATATCAACGCACGCGCAAACGGGTTCGGGGCGGGAATAGTATTACTGCGTCGCATGCGGATGTCCACACTTATAGGTCACAGTTTCCGTATTAGGTTCCCCCACATAATGACTCACTATTCAATTATACTGATGGAAAATTAACGCACTCTGAAGTGATTTGAGTCAATTAACACATTAGCTTTACCTAACAAACTTAATACAACGACATAAATAAACGATAGTTTAGTAACAAAATACGATAAACTTACTTGTGCGTCCGTTGAGAGGTTTTCGGCCGAAGCACTCACAGACATCCTCCACACTTAGTTATCAACGAAAAGATAAACTAAATAAAAAATTCAATAAACTATCAGAATATTCTCATAGTTAATGTTTTCTATTTACTTTGCGATTTTAACTTCGCTGGGCGTGTACGTTCGTTGCACAAGTTGAATGCCATACATTGGTCATAATTTGATCATTGAATCTATGAACCAGCTTTGTTATTTTAAAGAATGGTCATTCATGTAGAACGATTGAATGTAAAGAATGAAACGAACGAGTGTTGCTGAACGAACCAGTCAATGATTTGTTCAAAATCAGAAAAATATTTCTTCTAAAGATCTGATATTATTATCAATAAGTACCAACTAACAGAATACCAATAACGGTACAATATCTTGTAAATTAAAAGATAACATTTTACTTAATTTTAATTGGCAATGATAAATAAATATACGTTTTTCAAAACGTCAAATATTTTAATGTTGCCAGAGTTCACTTTTTTCTGTACACGCTAACGCACTTGTTTTTATTAGATATCGAAATAGTTAATAATAGAATCGAAAAGTAAAAAGTGGGTTTCATGGAAATAGAACACGAGCGCCTCTCTTGGGGCCATTCTTTCAATGTCAATTTCAACAGCCAACTAAAAGATACTTGGATCTTTGGTCGTACCACATTGTTCCAATAGATGGCGCAACAGGTTTGTTGGCAATTGATAACAATGAATACGATTGAATATATGTAGGTACAATGTAGGTAATTATTATATTTTATTTGATAACAGAATATAATGTCACATGAATGAAATATAAAATGTCGTGGTGGACTGAAGCGTGTGTCGTACCCGCTTCTCATGCATGAGGGTGCGAGTTCGAAACCTGGCAAGTACCAATGTAACACCGAGTTATTACTTTCTAAAATTATATAGACTACTGTTATACTAGTTCAGTAATTTGATAGTTTTCCTTGGAACGTTTTCCGGGAACGTTAAAAATAGGCAATTTTCCCGTAAAGGATCCGGCTGAATGTTGTAGGAGTAGGTAGGCGCAGTGGCACTGTCTAATCCACTTTCAGAGAAGAATAATATAAATGGCACATAGGTATACAGGTATTTCTATTTAAGTATTTAAATAAAATAATCTTTCTTGAGTCAATGGTCGGTCAAGTGGTTACCATAACTTACAGCCGTGTACGGTTTTGGATTCGATTACCGTGTTGAGCAAAGTAAACCTATTAGATTTCACTGGATTTTCTAAGTTCTTTGAAAATTCTCACATAGCTATAGATTTACGTAACTACGTAAGGGATTAATAAAATAACTGGAGAAAAGTGAGTGTCAGGTGGTTCAACCTTACCGGCCCTATAAAGAATTAAAAAGTGTGATGTTAATCAGTGAACTTTTTAAACTTATTGTCTACATGTAATTTTTTAACAAAATTAGGTAATTGCCACTCGTTTAGCCACCGACTTACCTGGTGCTTCGCGATGACGTAGCGACTGCCAACAATGGATCAAGCCATTTTTTTTTGAGTGGGGTAAATCATCCAATAATTTCTCGCCTTGGGTTAGGCGAAAGGGAGTGTCAGACTCTTACTGAGTAAACACCACCCCGTTCCTACTCCTGCTCTTCGAGATGGACGAGCCCCGGCAGCCCGTTTGACCTGCCGCGGCTCCGTATCGGGCATCAGCCCTACTGGGCCTCATCTGTGTTGGTCTGATGGCTGTTTGAGGCACGCGCGGAACGCGGCGCGTTGTACAGACGCCGGACGCCGTACGTACGGAGCATGCCTGGCTTGGCTACTATTATTATTTAGGTAATAAGTATTTGGGAATTTTTGAAGGTAGAAGAAAATTTAGTTTGGTATAAAAGGCGTGTCGAGTGCATAACCGCGCTCTTTTGTCCGAAATTCGTCAGACCGTCAATACGTTTGTCCTGGCAACCAATATTTCTTTGTTAAATTGTTAATTTGAGGTTCAATAACTTTGTCACAATTATAGAGTCGTTGTAATTAAATTTTTCTTGAAGTTTGCCGTTGTACTTTTCTTCTTAAAACATAGGTAAGTTTCCACCTCTTTTGTAATAGTATGATTATTTCACTTGTTATCGGCAAGAGGAGTGCAAAGTTTGCAGGAAAATAATGTCATAAATTTCGCCAAACGAAAGTCGAGGCAGTTATATATTTTATTCTTATAAATAAATTGGTTTTTATACTTAGTTTTAATTCTTAGTTTTTATACTTATAAATAAATTTGTTAATAAAATTTTACTTCACAATTTCAAAAAAAATGTATTGTATTGTTAGGTACGATAATCAAAATTTCGAGTTTCGGGCTATTTAACTCCAAGTACATACATGCTCGCGACAAGTGCTACGATCCTGAAATATAAAAGAAATAAAGACATCTGAAACGAAATCATCTTAAAAGTTTGACAACTTAGAACTGCTACATATGTTTCGGTTAATTCGATAAAATAATAAGTATCTAAATGATTACAATTTTGTGACTTGGGAGAGTATGCAAGTCTATGTACAGTTAGGTAGGGTTCCAATACAGTTAGGATTCACGAGCACCCGAGCCTGGCAGCCAGCAGTAGACGAGGGTTGTGAGGCGTGGAGGGGGGGGGGGCAGGCAGGCAGGAGGGGTGCTCGTTAACTATGCAAATAGCAAGCGCGGGCGCGGGCGGAGGCACACAATCTGATCGACGACCACGCCCCACACAATGATTACTTCTGCGGAGACAAACTCTTAAAGCCTCACTGAGGCTTATATACAGATTTTCAATGTACAGTTAATTTAAGTATTGTGTTAATTACTCTTTATGACATGAACCTGTGTGTCATTCACGCCACCTGTAGTTGCTGATTAAAAGAATGTTGCCACAACACAGACTTACCTGTAGGTATACCATTACTATCCTACACTAATACAATTTACTTTTCAGTGAGTAGCTTACAACAGTTACAACTGATTGGGTGATTTATTTTCATAGTCTTTGTAGTCAACTGTGCAGGGCAGGGGCGGTGTAGTATCGGAAGTAAATACATTTATACACGTAGGTACGTATATCATTCGCAAGAGTTAATGTTTACTGTAAAACTGGCAAATTATATAAGCTCAAGCTATGAAACCATTTACCACTTCGTTGACAGTATTGAACATGTTCTTAATGTGTGTCAGATGGAGTTATGCTTGATTGGTATTGACAGAAACACGTTGAATTGGATATTTTCCCTTTTATATAATCGCCTGTTCCATACAATAACTTTCGTTAATTGATTTTTTGACCAACTTAATTTTAGTATTTCTCCCAGCAATTTTTAAGAAAAAAGTATAAGTATTGTTTGACGCTAAAAACGTGACGTCACAATACACAATATCGTACAAAATTCATAGAAAACTGTCGTTTTTGACAGTTCGAAAAAAGTTTTGAATTTGACTAGTCGGCATGTACCCAATCGAGCACTCAATAGTTAGGTGGACTTTCAGCATAAGGTAATAGTAGTAGTAGATCTTGGCTTATACGGATGATCCAGTGTCTACATTCCTACAAATGTAAGTAAGTATGTAAGTAACTTTTGTTAAGTTCTTAAAAGAAATTCATTTTTGTAGCCTCTGTAATTTCTACGAAAACATAATATTGTTGATTGAACCTCATTTCAGAATTCGCAATAGTAGTTAACGAGCACTTTACGATTTAAGGAAACTGTTTTGAAGTCACCAAAACAGCTGACTATAGAAGTCGTAGGCTCAACGTTTGGTTGTTCATGATTCTTCATATTTTTTTATTGAGATTTTTCATTTTACGAATAATTTCTCAGCTCAAATCTAGTTAATAGAGCGAAAGGGATTAGACCTTGCACAATTTTTTACAAAATCTTGTAAGTAATGAATTACAAAATAATTGATTAGAACAAACTATTCTAAAGGATGTATAGACTTCGTAGATGACAGTTAGTATAATTTCCCAGCACTTTAAAGTTGTACCTAAGTATATCTATACTTAAACATGTATTATATCACATGTCCGTACAATAGGTACGTGCCCACATTGCTCACCTCTACGTTGCTCGATTACCGAAATCAAAATCGACAGATATCGATACTGACTTGTTGTTTTGTTGAAACTTAGTTTTACACAATCAAGACCCGTACGCATTGTATTTTGTTCTTTATGTGAATGTCATAAGTTTGAAAGTGGACTGGGATTGACGGCATAACACGGAGTGACTTGCAAAGGCGCGGTGGTCCTCACAACAGTCGGCAACCACTAGCTTCAATGATCTGTACAGAGTGCTCTCTGGTGCAGAGGCAACAGCTCACTTAGATTTGTGTGAAAGGTTACTTAGGTAATACTTCAACTTACCTTAAATAAGTAGACTTACGTTTGTTACAGCGGTTACTTTGTCTGACATTTACCTTTTGTGTCAAGTTAAAAGTTGGTGAGACATATACCTCTATAATGGTGGTTAACTAATTACTTATACGTAACTTATTCGTTTCTTAAAGTCGGTGCAGTTTTATAATGAAACCTTTTATACGAGTACAAACTATTTTAATGTCAGATTGATTAGATCAAGGTCGAGGTATTGATATGTGACAGACAAATAAAAGCCGTCCACGTTTCACAAGGTGTTTATGTTTATTGTTGAAGTCTCTGTGGGTCGTGTACCCTGTGGTGTATCGTTGTGCCTGTCGACTTGAAAAGGCTGGTATCACAGCCGCGGCCGAGAATGATATATGGAGAGGCTGTGACGCGCTGCTTTGATGGCCGTCACAATCTGTTAGTGGGTCGCGGTCGAGTGGACACTGTTACACTGCTCGCTGCCAGCGAGAAACTACGCTCCGTATGGAGGAGGCAAGTACGGCGTGAGCGTCATAATCTTATAATTTGTACCGTCATTGAAACATGACAATTAAAAATATATATCTTACAGTTTTTGGAATAGTTCGTTTCATCACTGCATTACGTGCCATAACTAAAAATATTATGTGGGCAACATATTCGATATGTTGCCAACATGTTTATTTATCTCCCTACTAAATAGGTATACAATTTAAAAGAAAAAAAAAAGAATAAATTCAGAAAAAACTAAACAAACATATGCAGGTTCTTGAAGCCAATATACTACGTAAAATCACGAATTTTAAATTGTAATATTAATTGTTGAGATTTGAGATGCCTCATCTATGGTTGCCGGGCGTTTGTGCGTTGGTGGTGGTTAGTCGCTGAGCGCGGCTGGTCGGGCCAGAGGTCGGCATTCCTCTGCTGTGAGGCTTCACCTCGGGAAACCTGCCTCTTCACCAATCACAAACGTTAAGGATACAATGTGGCCATTTTCAAGCCAGTCATTAATGTGCACACGT